ATGTTTTTCTTAGTTCATATCTTAGATGTTATTACTGTTTTTCTTATACATTTTATTCTTGGATGTAACTGGGACCCTGTGTACATAATTTCGCTCCACCACATGTACCACATGAGGTGCGAATGACAATAAAGAAACTCTGACTCTGACTCTGACTCTGACAGGGCCTTCTCTGTAGCAGGACCAAGACTCTGGAACGAGTTACCTCTGCTTGTCAGACAGGACCCCTCCCTCTCGGTTTTCAAGTCCCGTTTAAAAACTCACTACTATTCAGTAGCTTTTAACACCAGATGATCTGTGTTTTGATCCTGTATGCTCTACACTGGTTTGTTGTCATTATCTGCATCGTTTTTATGTCTATATTCTGATTTACCTCATTTTGTATTTTGCTTTGTGTGTTACCTGTTGTTCTGTCTGTAAAGCACTTTGGTTGGCCTTGTAGCTGTTTTAAGTGCTTTATAAATAAAGTGGTATGGTATGAGCCGTGTCTCCCACCAACTCCAGGATCCCAGTGGCCAGGCACCCAAGCACAGCTGGTAGGCAGATGAGAATGCGTCCACAGAACGCATTCGCAACTCACTTGAGATTTTGGGCTGTAGTTGAGATATTATTTGAGCTTTGAGATGTTTATCAGCTGCTGTTGGGTATAGAAAACCACCTTGTTGCCATGGTTACGCATTATAACAAATGTCCAAAACTAAAAAAGTTTCAGTAAAAATCCTTCCATCTGCACAGCATCTGATACCAGAGGAAACAATCATCCAAAACATTGTGATTTACATCCAGAAAAAGAGGAATTAAAGTTTCCAAAAGCAAAATCTCAAAATGAAAGTAACAGAGCTGCTCCAACATGCAGCCACCTTGAGCAGCGCAATAGCCATGACATGTCCGGAATAACAGAGCCCTACCGGTAATTTTAAGCTCACATCCTAACATTAAATGGAACGGAGACAAGTTATGTAGGTGTGTAAATGGTAAATGGACTGTACTTATATAGCGCCTTTCTATCTTATTTCAAGACACTCAAAGCGCTTTACAATCTGTGCCTCATTTACCAATTCATACAGCACTCTACTAGATCTATACAAAGCTAATTGAACAAATCATTCTAAAGAGTCTAATCAGAGCTTTTATCACATTCATACACCGATGGGACACACATCAGAGGCAACGAGGGGTTCAGTGTCTTGCCCAGGACACTTCGGCATGCGACTGCTGGTGGATTCGAACCCCCAACTCTTGCATTGGAGGATGACTACTCTAACCACTCAGCCACAACCGCGCCATGTGTGGCGCTTTTATATCCAGTGATTATGCTTACCAGTAGATATTTACCGGTATTTTGTTTGTATAAAATTATGATTGTTCTTATATTTAATATGTGCAGCTTATACACAGGTGCGTTTTGTAGTCCGTAAATTATGGTAACTAAGATTATTATTACTTCAAAGTATTTAGAAAAGCCCAGATGATGATGTTATGCCCTTGGAGTGGCTGTGCTGCTGATTAGCCATGCTGATGATTCCTTGCCTTTAAGCTGCTGTATTCATACTAGAGCTGTCATTACTAACCCGTGCCCAAAGCCCGGCCCAGCACGACCCGAATTCGAGCCGGGCCATAAAAATGTGCTTAAATGTGCGGGCCGGGCCAGTTTCAGGCTTTGATGCAGTTACAGTGCCTTGCGAAAGTATTCGGGCCCCTTGAACTTTTCAACCTTTTGCCACATTTCAGGCTTCAAACATAAAGATATAAAATAAATTTTTTTTGTGACGAATCAAGAACAAGTGGGACACAATCGTGAAGTGGAATGAAATTTATTGGATGTGTCAAACTTTTTTAACAAATAAAAAACTGAAAAGTGGGGCGTGCAATATTATTCAGCCCCTTTACTTTCAGTGCAGCAAACTCACTCCAGAAGTTCAGTGAGGATCTATGAATGATCCAATGTTGTCCCAAATGACTCATGATGATAAATAGAATCCACCTGTGTGTAATCAAGTCTCGGTATAAATGCACCTGCTCTGTGATAGTCTCAGGGTTCTGTTCAAAGCGCAGAGAGCATCATGAAGACCAAGGAACACACCAGGCAGGTCCGAGATACTGGTGTGGAGAAGTTTAAAGCCGGATTTGGATACAAAAAGATTTCCCAAGCTTTAAACATCCCAAGGAACACTGTGCAAGTAATCACATTGAAATGGAAGGAGTATCAGACCACTGCAAATCTACCAAGACCCGGCCGTCCCTCTAAACTTTCATCTGGAACAAGGAGAAGACTGATCAGAGATGCAGCCAAGAGGCCCATGATCACTCTGGATGAACTGCAGAGATCTACAGCTGAGGTGGGAGAGTCTGTCCATAGGACAACAATCAGTCGTACACTGCACAAATCTGGCCTTTATGGAAGAGTGGCAAGAAGAAAGACATTTCTCAAAGATATCCATAAAAAGTGTTGTTTAAAGTTTGTCACCTGGGAGACACCAAACATGTGGAAGAAGGTGCTCTGGTCACATGAAACCAAAATCCAACTGTTTGGCCACAATGCAAAACGATATGTTTGGTGTAAAAGCAACACAGCTCATCACCCTGAACACACCATCCCCACTGTCAAACACGGTGGTGGCAGCATCATGGTTTGGGCCTGCTTTTCGTCAGCAGGGACAGGGAAGATGGTCAGAATTGATGGGAAGATGGATGGGGCCAAATACAGGACCATTCTGGAAGAAAACCTGTTTGAGTCTGCAAGAGACCTGAGACTGGGACGGAGATTTATCTTCCAACAAGACAATGATCCAAAACATAAAGACACATATCTTGATGCATGCTCAATAATCCAGGTAGAAAAATCCAAAAAAGTTCAATCTGGTCCTCTGGACATTCAAAAAAAAAAAACAAAAGCAAAACAAAGCAAAAAAATTCTAGAAACGTTTCGTCTCTCATCCAAGAGACTTCCTCAGTCTGAGGTGCTGCTTTCAGCTCAGTCTCTCAAATAGCACCTTCTTAGAGTGGATCAACCAGTTTGCTGCTGACAACCAAAACCAGCTGATCACATGCTCAAGAAGGACCATCAGCCTAACAATGGGTCATTAGCACACTGATGGCTGTTTGATATTCACAGAGGGCTGAGTGATACTAGCAATCACAGCAATGTAAGATGGGGACAGTTGAACCCGGAGGCTCCACCCCTGTTTAATGATGGACGATTTCTTTTCACAAAGATGGCCTCCTTTACTCCTCTCTCAAACCATCGTTCCTCTCTGTCCAGGATGTGAACATCTTCAT